TAGATATATCCACACTAAGGGACATTCACTGGTCTATTGTAGGGGTCTCAACCTGAATAGAAGGCAACATGAGAAAACGCACCCGAAGGTGGGCATGAGTACCTAGACCTAACAGGGTACACCTCAATCTACTATAGCCAGTTACGCATCCACTGCATATACGCACCCTAACCAACGAGTCTGAGACTCAAGCTCCTCTCGTGGTACCATAAACATATATTTAAAATCCATTCATATCCATCCATAGGAAATCCAATAAGTCGTTCAGCTTATTCAGCTGCACAGACTTAAATATAAGGAGAATTATGTTTTTATAATTCGAACCCTTAATCCAAAATAGGTAGGACTGAGTTATTTTGAATCAGTTTGTCCCTAGTATGCCACCGTCCCATACCAGTGCATACAATCCACAATATCCATATAATTGATTAAACAGATAAAACTGTTCACCAATTAAAATCCATAAGGTCTGAATTAACGTTTTGAGCTAAACCATACCTTGTATGTCACCGTCCCATACCGGTGCATATAATCCTCTATATCCATGTAAATTACAACATATAAATAATTAACAAGTAATTTACAGTCCAAAACCAAATATCCAAATAACTGCAGAATAGTATATGTGATACTACAATATGTACAGTTCAAACCAATAATCCAAATAATTGTAGAATAATATATAAGAGTCCACAATTAACATCCAAACCATGTAAATTACAACATATAATTAACAGTTTAGCAATTTACAATCCAAAACCCTCCTAAATAATTGCAGAAGAGTATTTAGTATTTCAACAATTTAAATCCAAGAGTTAAACCATAAAGTTGCAGGAAACAATTAATAATTCGGCAACTACCATCCAGAGCATACATAGATCAAATCTAATATATCAATGACTCTATCAAGCATTAAAATAAATTCTATAATCATATTATAGTCCGATAAATCACTACATTAATTTAAGCAATTTAATTCCTTCCATCCGGTAATAGCTTACAAAGTTGTATACTTGTATTCTGTTTTATCTTTTAGCACAGAGGCATGCCCTATGCCCAAGTCCAATTTATTAATTTAAAAGACTTCACTGTGCTTTTAATCTTCATTTAGAATCATTATATAGCACCCTAAGTTGTCAAATGAAAACTAGACAACAAATCTCCTTCCAGCCGTTAACCGTACGCACAATTGTTAAATTAGCGCATTGTTAATTTCATTCACTTAGAGGTCAACCTTACTCAATTTAAGGACTTAATAACTCTCAAATCCAACCCTCTAATCCCTTTGTAAAACCCCAGATTCAACAGAAACGTTCCCATGCTCCAACAGTATCCAAACAGTTCGTAGAAAAAAAATTCAGAAAACTACTATTTGAAAGAGCCTGCTCTAAATTCCAAGAGCAGGCTCTTTTTTGAGCCTGGAGCCGGCTCTAAGAATGTAGAGCCGGCTCAATGAGTATGGGAGCCGGCTCCCACATCCATGGAGCCGGCTCTCACCTCCTTTGAGAGCCTTTGTCCCCGTTCTGCTCCGTTCTAACTTTCTGCTTCTTCTCCGGCATGTTTCTGCCCTTCAGTTGGTTTCAAAAACTGATCCTAAGGGTCTTATTAATATTCACTAGCATCCCAAAGGTTTGATTTTAACCATTTAAATCAATTACATAGATCAAATTTGCTACCGAACTAGACATGCTTTAGGGACAACACTGAACTATTTTGCAACCACAGCTCCATTCCAACCCCTTTGTTCGTCAATAATACTGAACCTAAGGTCTTCTATCACCCCATTAATATCCCCATGGTTCGTTTATAGAAGATGGAAGCAAGTACAGTAACAAACATTACAACAGAACTTAATATGCTTTTAAGAACAAAACTGGGAGCGGTTAATACATGAACTGCAAACAGATTTGAATTTACGACAAACAGATCATTCATATAACATATATTAAACATATAACTTCTAGTTATTGATTGATTAAACCCTAGAGATTATCTAGGTGCACAGAACAAGAGCCAAAGAGAAGGAGAAAGAGAGGAACTTGCCTGTGATTTCAGTTATGAAATCCCTGCGTCGTCTTTAAGTTTCCGGCAACTACTAACTTCCGTCAAGCCTCCTATGGGTGTGATCTAATCCACCACAACCCTCCTTTGACCCTCTCTATTCTTGTCCTTGGTAGCTCTTACCATTGCCTCTGTTCTCTCAACTCTCTCTCTGTTACGTTCTATTTTTACTGTGCCGTGAATAGGGTTCTTCCAAAACCCTTAGTGAAACTCATATACGTATATATATAGGCTTTTAGAAAACCCTATTTAAACTAGAGTGAAGGCAGAACCCTAATTAAACTAGAGTCGGCCCATAAACTTAAGTCACATACACGTTAAATACTTGTATGACGGCTCCAAGAAATCATAACTGAAAACTATTAATTCAACTTCTACTTAAGCACCTATTAAAGACAATTAAATAATTAACCAAATAAGGCATTTAAAATACAATTTAAAATAAAACAAACAATACAATAACTCAGATAACTAAACAAACCATAATTCAAATAAAGAAAATAAGACAATTAAATAATTAACCAAATAAGGCATTTAAAATACAATTTAAAATAAAACAAACAAAATACAACAATTACAAAATCAATAGACAAAAATGCACATAGAATGAAATTTAAATTCCAATTTTATCCTTTTTAATTTTAGGGGTATTACACACTACAAGATGTTTGATCCGGGCTAAAAGAGCTCAACATCTTGCTAGAGTTATTAAAGACTAGCACGACATTTCGTAGGGTGTCAAAACCCTATTCCTCCCTTATTTCTATCTTTAATTTCATTTCTTGCGAAGTCTAGATACTTGTTTTTGGTTCATATGCATTGCTAGGAACTGTGATTAGGATTGCATGCACATTTATGTTGTGATTGAGCATTTTGCATAAGTTCGATCGATCTCAAATGAGAGTTCGATCGATCGAACTTCTACCTGCATCCAACACTTAAAAAAATTTTCAACCTGCATCCACCTGCATCCAAATCACCTCTCTGTCCCATCGTTCGAACTTATTCTCAGATCGATCATAAGTCCTTCGATCGATTCAAACCTCAAGTTCGATCGATCTTGAGTTCCAACACTGAGACAAATTTCTGAACCCAAAAACCTGCATATTTTTAGCTCTCTGTCAGATCGATCGAACATTTTGTTCAGATCGATCTCTGTTCTTCATCTCACCATCTTTGACTTTGTTTGACTTTTAATTTTCAAAATTCTAAAAATATTTCTATTTTATTTTATTTTATTTTCCAAAAATCCCAAAAAGATTTTATTTTATTTTAATTCTTCAAAAATCCAAAAAACTTTCATTTTTAATTTTTAGTTTTAAATTTTAAATTTTAAATGTTTTTTTATAAAAAAAAAAAAAAAGTTTTCAAGGAGAGATCACAACAGTTGGATCGATCGAATTGGTTGGGGAAAGTTTTTAAAAATGAAACCGAGGGTTTCAAGATTGATTTCAAAGATCGATCTAACCCTCTTCCAAACCCTATCCCTCGTCGCCGCAACACCCAATCTTCTCCATCTCCGGCAAGACCTCTGACGAGCTTCAGCTCATCCCGAATCTTTCTCTCTCTCCTCTTGGATTTCGCATCTCACCCCTTCGAGTTTCCACATCTCTCTCTTGATTTCTAGGTGAGATCCGAATCCATCCTTTTGATTCAAGCTTCGATTTGATATATACTTGCTTTAAATGTTAGATCCATGCTCTTTTAATGTTGAAAATCACCATTGATGAAGTTTGAAGCTTTATGTATATATGTGTATATATGTGTATATATATTCTGTTAAATTTTGTATTTTTGATTGTATTTTGGGAGTATGGGCCTCGTACAAGTGAATAGGATTGATGCTATGTTGTGTTGATGGGCCCACGACCTTGTTCGTGAAGGCCCCGTGTCACCCACGTCACAGATCTGTGACTGTCCACGTTCTTCACAGAGTTCGATCGATCGAACATATTTCTCAAATCGATCAAGTAAGATCGATCAAACTTAGTTTCTCAATTTCTCAGATCGATCAAGTGAGATCGATCTCACAATTTTTGTGATCGATCGAACTTCACAGATTTCATATATACATTCCATGCATCTTATCTTGTGTCCATGCTATCTCATTCATGCCCAATGCCTGTGATTTTCCATATTGGATGTATTATACACTCTTACTGCTTAACATATTCACATCATATCACTTTTATAGATTCATGTCATTTATCTATTTTGTCTATCTTACTTGACAAACATGATTCTATTTTATGCTTTAAATTCTTTATTTTGGCACGACTTCCCTTGCAAGTTTTATGCGGCGGCAGTGGTGATGGTAGACGAGGTGGTACGGTGTACCACGGTGGAGAGAAGTGGAGGGTTTTGCTGGAGATATCGATCAACCAATGCACTAAGTTATTTGAACTCTCATGGTATCTGAATCTGATGGTGACCCAGCTTCTGAGTTCCTTCAGCAGAAGGAATCTAATGAGGAGGGGAGGGAGGGCAGAGATAAGCATGGAGGCGAGTGTCACTACAAGAATTAGGGGTATTGGTGACAGTCCTTTAGGGACAGTAGAGAAACTGTCCCTAAAGACACCCTTTTTGGTAACACTACATTCCTTCCCGTCCCTAATAGACTAAAAAAAAATTAGCGCGCCCTCCAATCTGGTGGCGAAAAAACTTAGCGCCATTTTTGGTGAAATTATAAATTTTTTTAATAAAAAAATTATCAAAATAGCCTTTTGGGAAGGTAATGTTACCGTCCCAAAAGGATATTTAAGTGAAATTATATTTTTTTAATAAAAAATTGTCAAAATACGCTTTTGGGACGGTAAAGTTACCGTCTTTAATTAACTATATATATATAAACGATGTAGTTTTGGTCAAGTTAAGTATATATCTGTATATATATTTCTTATTCGATGTGTGTCTGAAGATTGTTTCTTGCCGGCCCTAGCTCGATTTCTCCTTCCGTCCTCTCTTTCAAACTGGTTTGTTCTTCCCCAACTGATCTATTTCTTTTCAATTAAGTATAGATCTGTACATGTAATCCATGAGGGATCACTTTGCTAAATTTCTTATTCGATGCGCTCTGTGTCTGAAGACTATTTCTTGCCCTAGGTCGATCTTCTCCTTCCGTCCTCTATCTGAAATTGGTTTGGTCTTCCCCAATCGATCTATTTCTTTTCAATTGAAGTCGTAGCCTTAGATTTTCTCTTTGTGAAGGTGAGGTCTTGAAGAGCCCCCCAACAGCAGCAGCTGGAAACGATCTTTCCTAACTTCCTTTGCTCTCCTATCGACGAGTCCTCTAACACTCTCAGCCGTCTTCAACATTAATCCCACCGCCGGTAATTTTCACTCCTCAATTCCCTTATTTCCCAATTAATGAACCCTAACTGCTTATACATTCACTATATACACACATATACACATATAATTAACATGAATGCTTCAGACACACAAAACTTGAGTGTTTGCTTTTTGTGGGTTTTGTTGATTGATCTTAGTAGTATATAATTTGCAGTTTATTGGCTTCTTCTTCGTCTAATTGGGTGAATGTCTAATTTAATTCAATTGAGAGGTAGCAAAGTCCGTCCATCAACAGGTCCATTATCTTCTCACAAACCCTGCTTTTTCATTTTTGAATATTCTTCTTATGGCTTCTTTGTCTTCTGATCTCACCCACTTTCCCATTCTAGACACTCCCTGCAACAGGTCCGTCATCTTATCACAACGTTTAGTTGAACACGTAAAGTGCCAGTCCTTTATATTTTTGGAATATCCCATTCATTTGTCTTAGTTTTTTGGATTGATAGTTTGGAATGTTTTCTATGAATTGCTTGTTTGTTTCGTGTCGCAGATTTTCTCTACAAGGACTACCAGAGCGACTAGAAGTTCAGTGTCTCTACTTATTCTTCTACTAGTGTTGTAAGTGTTTTTTATTTTTTATATTAATTTTTTTTTTCCGGTGATTTTTAGATTTGTATATTTGCTTTTTTGCTATGTTTTTTATAGGATTAAAACAGAAAATTCATAAATACTCTCTGCTTTAGATATTGGATTAGCAAGAACCTCTGTATCTAATTGATGGATAATGTCTATGACTTTTTTTTTTTAATGATTCGTATTGATTCAGGAACTCTCATGCACGAATTTATGCTAAATTCTATACTATGCTGATGTTAATTCTATGATTTCTTCATACACTCAAACTGTAACAAGATCAGGGGATAAATGACAAAGACTGCACTTAATTTGAAAGATTTGTCTATTTTTTGTTGTATCTAATATTAATGCCAAGGGTGTGTGGTTAACTGGGTTTAGATAGGAAAAAGGCTACAACAATTAATCCATGTATAATTCACGCAACAGGCCAATAAAAATTCGTACGAACATTCTATATTCATTGAATTATTACAAACTAACATTTAAGGGTTGGAATGACCCTGGTCCCTAGATATTTAATACTTTCTCGTCGTTCAAGTCAAAGTAAAAAAGTATTGTCAAAATTCTATTGGACACCTTAACTAATTTTATTTGAAAAAGAATATAAAATATATCCAAAAATAATGTGTCTCTGCAACCGATTAATTTCAACCAGTTGAACTTTAAAACCTTTCAAAAATCTCAAAACAAGGTTGGAAAATTTCCAATGGATTAGATTCTGCATGATAGAGTCTAGAAAGTTCTTAAACCAGGTGGAGAACTTCCAACTTGATCTCTTGACCACAAATCACAAAGCAAATGAAGGTAAAAAATACATTCACCACACCCAACCATGTATGTAGGAATATGCATTAATGTAGGAAAATAATAGAATCTAGCTTAACTTTCTAACTCATCTAACACTTCTACCTTGAAAAAAAAATGTTAGCTAATTCATGACAGGTTCGGGTTGGATTTTGGGTTGCTAAACACGAATGAATCCAAGCCTAGACCAAATTCCAAATAACATTGCCAAAACCTGATTTTTTTTGGATTGGGCTTTGGGTTTGCCCTGCTGAGTTATAGTCTTTATCATAGGATCGGGTCCTCTCAGATGTTGTACCCTAAAAAAAAAAAAAAATAATGGAAAAAAAAAAAACAAAGAACTCAGTAAATGTTACAATGTAATGCACCTTATTTTAACTTTTTTCAAACATGTTATATTAGTCACTACTCCCCCACTACAGCTATGATCGTCTCCTCATCCTAGCTAACTAGTTTGTTCTTGCATAGACACAACATATCTTACATTTTTAATATATTGAATGTTTGAAATTATTAAAAGTTTACAAGTTTATAATTTAAAATTGTGGCATCTACAATAATTTCATTTACATTTAAGTTTAGATCAATAATAATACTACATTCTGTTTAGATTAATTTCTAAGTTTTATTTTATTTTATTTTATGTAAACTGAGAAATGGCATTATTGTTGTTCCATTTAAAACTCTCACGAGTCTCATCTTCAAAAGAAGATAGTGAAGTATGAAAATATGACTAAATTAATCAACGTATATATTATACAAGTCCTAAACTTGATTATGATCGAACTCTTGCATGCATGATATGCCAAATGTTCGTTTAATCTCTTTTTTGCTGAATTTTTGGCCTACAGTATTCCACTTACAGATTATGTTTGTTAAGATTTAGTTTCTTCTTTGGAAAAGTTTGGATTGATTTTTTATTTTATTTTTCATGTCAGTTGGAAGAGTGTTAGGATTTATTACTTACATGAAAAAGCATTATAAATAAGAAAAATTTGAAAAATAAAAATAAGCAAAAATACTGCATGTGGAAGAGAAATTAAGAGTAGAGGATGAGAAATCAAGAGAGATACTTAATATACACAGATTTTTAGTTTCTCTTGGTTTCTTTACATGCATTAACTACTTTGGTTTTGAAGGCCAGTCTTTAAGTGTATTAGAAAATGCATTCGCCATCTGTATGCTTTTTTTTCTTTTCTGGCCATCTGTTCTTTCTTTTTCTTTCTAAAGTCAAATGACTTGTTTATAATTGATATTCTAACTTTTTTATTTTTTATTTTATGTAAAATACCAGTTAGATGGATAAGTCTTGGATTCATCATCACACTAGGGGTAGTCGAACCTATTTTGATGGCATAGAAAACTTCATTAAGGTGGCTAGTCGTCATTTACAGACAGGCGGTTTTACCCGATGTCCATGTCGTCGTTTCAAAAACAAGGAATATCTTGAAATTAAACAAGTTAAGCAACATCTCTTGAGTAAGGATCGATGTCTTTCGCCAGACGCTATAATGTTTATGTACGTAATATTTAAAATAATAATTATAAACTTTTAATTTATTATCCATCTAAATCATATTTTGTGTTGTAGCTGAAAGAAAGTTAAGAAAGGCAAGAAAGGCAAAACGAAGAAGATGAGGAAGTTGAAAGTCCTGAGGAGGGTCCTGCTATTCGCATGTACAAGGACACGCATTTTAGGGAAGAAACTGGATGGGTAAATGAGATAGCTAAGCAGAACTACGTAAGTTTTTTCCCCCCTATTTTACTTTCTTTTTATTTTTCTTAATGTGTTATTATTGCCATCTTGTTTGATAATAAGATTGTGTGTGTATGTATAGTAAATTAGTTACAGTATATATACTTATATGTAGAAGTATATATGAATTGCTGTTCTGATAATAAGATTGTGTGTGTATGTGTAGTAAACAACTTGATACATGATTTGTTGCATTCCCTGATACATTTACTATTTCTTCTTGCTTTGAGTGTGGTATAGAAATTGTTATTATTATTTTTCTTTATCCTTAAGAACATAAGGAATTCATCTTCCAGATATGTTTTTCTTTGATGGTGTGTGCATTATTATTTGTCTTTAGCTTGTACTACTCTTTTGATTTCTCCTTATTTGATTGTGTTTATGCCTTTTTTGATTTAAGTACTTTGTTATCTTGACTCACCCATTGCCGGTACCTAAGGCCGGATAAATAAAAATACTAAAAAAGAGAAAATTAGAATAGGAACATGGAATATAGGGAAACATCCTCAAATTTCTTTCCTGCCAAATAGCCCATACAATAGTAGAGACGATCATAGAAAATCGCCTAGAAGAAGCAACCATGTGTATAGCCCACAAAAGAAAGCCATCAAAGGTTTGACAATCCATATGTCAATCAAAAGAATTATTAAGCCAATCCCAGACGCCAATTGTTATTCTGTATTAGAGTGAATGGAAACATTATAGGACCTACAAACCTCCCAAGCTCTTTTAAAATTAAAAGTACCATCCTCCATAACAATATATATGTATTAGAGTGAATGGAATAGTGCTAACATCTGCAAATCAGGGGTATCAAACAAATCAAAACACGAACTGTTATTCTATATAATAGCAGAAAGAGATGAATCCCCATGAAAAGGTAAACTTCTGAATAGCCTGTGGCCAAACACACTGGGGGCGTCTGCTCTAAGTTAATTGTATACTCTTTATATGCTTTCGAAATGGTGCTAAAATTTGATTTCAAGCTTGAAAACACGTGGTTTTTATTTTTATTTTTATTTTTATTTTATTAAGTTGGAATGAATTGACATTAATATTTCATTAGGTTTCATTTAAAACATTCGCTGTGTGTCTTATCATTGCCTATGACTATTGATCTTCAACATGACTTAAGTGAAGAAATAAAATGTATAAAACTGTGTTTCGGATGAATTTATTTATTTATTTTTTGAATGCAACATTGAATTTATTGCTTGGTAGGCTGGTTGAAATGATTTTTAGGGGAGAAAAAAAAAAATAAATTGATTTTTAGTAGTTCTATTGGCAAAAATGGGGGCACAATTATATTTGCATATAAAAGTTATCTCAAATACATAAGTTAGCTAAAGTCTCCTTCAATGAGGTATTATTACTAAAAAGAAGAGCAATTTTATCATAATCACCAGGCTTATAATTAGCATTGAAAGAAATTTAATCAAAATATCTCTGCAATCAAACACACTAGGGGCGTCAACTGATCTTCAACATGACTCGTGAAGAAATCATATAAAGTATGTATGGAAAAAGTGATGATAATTAAAGCAATTTTCTTAATCTTCTTCAAAATATATATATATATATATATATATATATATATATATATATATATTAAACAAAACTGAGCAAAAAGCAGACTGGAAAAATTAAATTGACATAGAGGACACATGACTACAACAAAAAACAATTAAGATGACATCATCCAAAATATCAAATAATTTCAGAAGTATAAGCTGTATGATAAACATTACAAGAAACTTTTGGGAAAACTGACAATACTAAACAACATACCAGTACAACACATTGTTTTTGTGTTTTTTCCTAGTGTCAGTATTGAAATGAAAATAGAATACTACAAATGAGGAAAATAAGCAGGAAATATTAGTACAGTGAAGAAATGCAAAAAATCAAAAGAAAAGTGAAGAGAAGGTGACCATAGAACTGAGAACCTTTTTTTAGTCTAGAATGAAAAAAAGTTGTTCAGTTATTGATTGCAATATTATTTTTTTATTGACCTACTGATGTTTAACACTACATTAATCTTAATTTTAGCAAGAAATGAAAGAGAAGTTTTCACAAGTTTCTCACAATTCTGATGGTACTAGTCCTATCATAAATGATGTTGAGATAGTGGAAAACCAATTAGGTATTCAGAAAGGGATATCGTCGTGGGTTCGGAAATGGTTTTGTCGCTCCAAGCCATCAACGTGCATCCTCATCTTTTGAAGAGGCTTCTAGAAAAAGGGTGAAAAATGTTGAAGAAAAAAATGCACAACTTACGGAGAAAGTTACAAGTTTGGAGGAGAAGTTGGATACAATTCAGAAACTACTTGAGCAGCAACAACACCTCCTTGAGCAGCAACAACAGCACCAACAGCCGCCACCACCACGGTTCCACCAATATCAACATTCTCCATCACATTTCCAACAGCAGCATGCCTTGCCAAGCTGGTATCAGCAGCCGCCAACAATCACCTGAATGAACAATAAAGACAATTATTTTGGTAGATATATTTTGGAGCTTTTTGATGGCTAGCTAGCTGATTTCTAACTATTTTGGTACGTGTATTTTTTGGCCTGCATTTTCATGATTGCATTCAGTTTAAAATGATGTTTTAATTTTTGAGGATGTTTGTAACCATTTGATGTTAAAGCAGCTAGTACATACTTTTAGTTCTTGTTTACAAAACTGGAGAATTTGTAGTTTCATCATGAGATTAAGAGCTCGTTTGTTGGCACCATATTGTGGTGATAATCAGTTTTTTTCTTTCTAGAATGATATTGTGGATGTATGTACTTTTTAGTTCTGGATGTTTTGGTTTAATAAGTTTTTCTAGAACACAAATCCAGCAGAGTAAAAACTAATAAATAAATAAATAAATAAATGAGAAAAATAATAATAATACAAATCTAATAACAATAAATCATATTAGGGACAGTAAATCATATTAGGGACAGTATGAACTGTGCCTAATAAGTATTGTATTAGTGACATACAACAAACCGTCTCTAATATATCGACTATTAGGGACAGTAAATACCATCCCCAATAATAAATCAAAAGGGACGGTCTTATTTGGGACAGTAAGTCTGTCTCTAATAAATCGGCCTATTTGGTAAGCCCGTCCCTAATAAATCAAACAACTTTTCAGGGACGGGCAACTTTTACCGTCCCTAAAAATCTTTTGGGACACAGCTATTAGGGACGGTCGAATTCGATCATTAGGGACGGTCTTAGGACTTTTAGGGACAGATTTGACCATCACTAAAAACCTAATTTCTTGTAGTGTGTCTAAGGTGGAGATATTAGAGAATTCATGGAAGTTAAGTATGGCTTATGTGATACCCCCGGATTTCTGGATGCAGGTTGGCCAGGCCCACGCCCGATCACCCGAGGATATCAAACCAATTAGCAATAAACGAACATAGAATACAATTAAGAAAATAGGAATAAATAAATTGCTGAAAAGAAACTAGAATGGTAAACCAAAACTGAAAACCTCAGAATAAACTTTTTATAAATAAAGTATTAATCTGATACATCCAACTTTTTCAATTCTAATACAACTCGGGAATCTATCTAGTGGACCCCTAATAAAACCAACACTGAAAAATGAACCACCAGAAAGGAATCCAATGCTAAATCATACAGGAACCGCCAACGTCGTCGATCGAGTGAGTAGTCGTCTTTGCTCAGCACGAACAAGCTCTAAGACCTGATACCATCCGTTACCTGAAAAATAATAGTGGGTTAGGCCCACGAACAAGTTATATCCTAACTACAATCCAAACAGAGACCCGATACGCAGATACTTCCTAGATGTCTCAACTATATCTATATAGTCCGTAAATAGATATATACATATAACCACACTACAAGACTCTCACTAGGCTATGCTGAGGGTCTCAACCTGAATAGAAGGCAACATGCAAAAACGCACCTGAGTGGGCATGACTACCTAAGCCTAACAGGGTATACCTCAACCAATATAGCTAGCTACGCATCCTACTGCATATACGCTCCCTAACCGTCGACTATAGGACTCAAGCTCAGATCGTGGTATCATAATTTATATATATAAATTCCCATCCAAACCAATGTAGTGCTGCTCAACAGTTCGTTGCCATGACACGACAAAAAATTAGGATTTAAATGTTTTAATTAAATCCCTATCCATTCTACTAACAGAAAATATAAACAACCATCCAATATGTCGTTCAACTATTTTAGTTGACAGGACATGAAACCATGTAGGATTTAACTGTTTTAGTTAATCCATTCCGTATGTATGGACGGGTTGGAATTAGCGTTTTGATCTAATCCGTTCCTCCGTATACCACCGTCCCATACCGGTGCATACTATGCATTTGATCCGTAAATGATGCAATAACTTAATCAGTACATCACATAAATCCACATAATCCAAATAGTTGATAAAACAGAATTGAAACAGTACATCAACTATAATCCCAAAATACCATCCCTATAGTTGCTAAAACAGTTTAATAGTCCAGCAATAAAAATCCCAATCCATAATCCAAGTAATTGCATAAACAAATTTAATAATCCAATAATTAGAATCCAAACATTTAATCCAAGTAATTTCATAAATAGTTTAATAATCCAGCAATTAGAAACCAAACATTTAATCTAAGTAATTGCATAAACAGTTTAATAATCTAGCAATTAAAATCCCAAATCCATAGTCTAAGTAACTGCAAAAAAGAATATAATAATTTAACCATTAACATCCAAGATATGCATAGATCAAACTTGTTAATTAAATGATCCTAGCATGCAACCAAAATAAGATTTATAAACATACTAGATCCTGCTGGATTGCCAAAATTAAGCTTAGGCAATTTAAGTGTTCTTACATCCATTAACCGTATAAAGAAATGCATAACTTTTATACGATTTGTTCCGTTAATTTAGGGGTAAAATTTAATCAATTAAATTCCTATTAACACCTAAAATTAACTTTTTAATCATTCTATGTAGTCCTAGAATTTTTCTAGAACAGTTCAGTTCCACCCGTCCGTTAATAGTATGTTAAATTGTATAATTTAATACTGTTTCATCCACTAGTCTATGGGTATAATCTTTGCCATGTGAGACTTTAATAATTCACGAAATTATGTTTAAAACCCACAGTGCACTTCAAAAATCATTTCAAAACACCAAATAAGTCCCCAAACAGTGTCCAAAAGTTTAGATTTCACAAAAACAAGGGAGTCTGCTCTTAAACTCATAGAGCAGGCTCCAAACAAACATTGAGCAAGCTCAATTAAAAAAAAGAGCCGGCTCCAAACACTTTGAGCAGGCTCCATTAAAAAAAAAGAGCCGGCTCCAAACACATTGAGCAAGCTCAATTTTAAAAAAAGAGCAGGCTTTATCTGAAAAAAAAAAACCTGAACCTCCGCCGGCCTTTGCTTCGTCTCCGGCCACTCTCAACCTGTCTGTTTGGTTTTACAACAGTTCCTAAGAGTCCTAACTGTGTCCAGTATAATCCCCATGGTGTGTTTATAGTAGTTAAAATCAAATGCAGAAACTAAAAGTTCTACAGACTTTTCATGCTTTAAGAAACACACTGATATCAAATACGCATGAACTGTAATTAATTAGATTTTAACCCATACAGATCATCAATATATCATCTATTATACATGTGAAACTCAGTTAATGATTAATTAAACCCTAGAGACCATCTAGGAGCACAGAACACAAGCCAAAGGGAAGGAGGAAGGTGTAATACCCCGATATTTTAAAGGATTTATTAAACGAAATTAATTACTTTTATTTTATTTTAAATGATTTATTTGATTTAATTTGAATTAATTGTGTTTTTTTTTTAATTTTTAATTAATTTTTTTTCTTGAGTGCTTGATTAAGTATTTTATTTTATTTATATTTCGTGAATTATTGATATGATGATTGTTGTGTGTGTGCTTAATTATTGATTGAATTGTTGGCGTGTTAATTTTATTGGTGTGGTGTAACTTGGTTGTAATTTATTGTTTTGTTTATATGCTTAGTGTAATTAGTTTTTAATTTAAGTATTTATTTAATTATTTGATTTATTTAAATTAATTGGATTTGGGCTTAAGGGAAGTTGAACCAAAAGGTGTGGTCTTAGGCTTGTATGAAGCTTTATTGGATTAATTAATAAAGCCCATAGTTTTGTGATTATTTAAATAATCATTTTTGTATAATTATAACTATATATTTAATTATATATAATATAATTAATTAATTGGTGTTATCGAAGGATATATACAGGATATATGATTTAATTAACCAATAGTTAATTATGGAAGATATATATATATATATATATATATATATAGATATAGGTAATATAATCTATGTTTATATATATTATATTATTTAAAAGATAATTACTATTATTTTTATTTGGTAATCCTAGTAGGAATGGGATGAGGGTAATTAATGTTTATAAATATAGACATAAGGTTTTATTGTTAAAAATTTTACACATTAGAAAAATAAGAGAGATAGAGAGAGAAGAATAAGGGAAAGCTGACAAGGAGTAGGCCGGATCTGAGAAAAAGGATGCCGGAATTTGAAAAGACAATCAAAGATTGAAGCGTCGGTTTCATTTTGAAACCTTCAGGAAAGTTCTTTTCTAACTCTCCTCTTAGGACCCATAAGTTTATCACCTTGAGTATCAATATTCAGATTAAATTTGTTTGTTTAAAAATCATTGTTAGACTGGATTAATTAAAAACATAAATTATTATAATTGATCTGTTGGAATTTTGGATTTTAAATTGATAAATATAAGGTGTTGTATATATATATTGTAAAAGCAATGTATAGGTGGATTTGTGACCCAAAAGGATTAATTAGGGTTTTTTTTTTTTATTTTCTGGAATTTATCTGGAATTTTCTGTAATTTTTCTGGATTTTTAGAATGTGTTTTGTATTTTTTTGAAATATTCTGGGATTTATTTTAGAATTATTTTTATAATTTTTAAATAAATATATGCACAGTATGCATCTGCGCATCAAATGGGTGAGGTTTAGGTGAGTTGCGGTGCGCAGCACTTTGGTGCACCACAAGGCAGGACCATTGAATGATTCTGATGACCAGTAAACGATCTAGTGTGGTCAGGTGTATGGAAAAGTTTACACCCGCTGACCTGGGGCGTTGGATAGAGTTGATGGGTGTAGGATAATCCTGTGTGGGCGTGTTCAAGAGCGTATGGATTTTGGACCATTGGATGAGGTGTAACGGAGTAGATGGATCCAGTGTGGTAAGCTCACCGAAGCAGAATGGAGCCAACCAATCAAAAGACGCCACTTCACTCCGCCAGTAAGGAAAGCGCGTGGGAGCGCGTGCAGGCGCGTGGACGTGCCTGCTAATGAAGGGAAGCGCATGGATGCGCGTGCAGCAGTCTGGGCGCGTGTAGTGGCGCTTGACGGCGCGTGAGGCAGTGTTCGGAGTCCCAGAAAGCTCCTGTGGGGTTCGGTGAATTCCCAGAGTTGATATTTAAGCCATTAGGGTCGAAAGCAACCACTGGAAGAGGTATTCTTGGTGTTTCGAGAGCCATAGAGTACTACTACAGTATTAGTAGCACTTAATTGACGTTTACATAGTTAATTAACACTTTTTGTGATAGAATGAGAGGTGGATATATATATATATATATATATTATATGTGGAAAGTATTATACATATATATATTGTATAATATATTGGTATATGTATATATCATTTAAGGTGATTAAAATATTAGTC